CCTCCCCCTCATTGTTAACACCTGGGCCTTCTCCATAGAACAGCTGATTCTACCCAGTACTCCCAGTTCCATCCAATGGCTGGCAATAGAATTACTAGACTCCCCAAAGTGCTCCAAAATATAATCCCAATCCCACACTAATTTCTACTCAAAACCAACAGTCCCTGACCAAAGCATCCAGTCCATATTCTAGCCCCCAGCTCTATCCCAGCCCCTCAGTGATTTCAGCTCGAGACCCACAAGCTTTATTTCACTGCCAGCTCTGATCTCTCAGCAGCAGCCCTTCATCTTGCCATCGCCGCCACGGGAAGCTGCTCCAGGTTCTCACTGCTGTATCTGCTGAGAAGGAGTATTTCAAAAGCTGTGTCATCCCTGTCAGACGGAATGTCTGAGTTTCCTGCATACCTGTGCTTCTCGCAGGAGATCTTTGCTGCTCTGCTTTTTCCTCAAGGTGCCGAGCCCCACAGACTGGCCCATGGAATCAAACATCCAGAATGCATGCACTTTCCTTCTCTTGGTCTCATAAAAAAGTTTCTCCCTCAGCTGTTGTTAGAGAGAAGGCAACTTTCCAAAGGGCTGCCACAACTGTAGGAACAGGAGTCCTGCTCTGTGCAATATTCTCCACAGCGGATGCAAGGAATGCGGTTTGTGTCCATCCTTCCCCTGCACTAGGAACCCCTCGGCCTGCCGGATGCTGTAGCATGCAAATGGAACAGGAGCACGTAAGAAGCCATTAGGATCTGCTTTGCCATCTTAAGTGAGTGGTGGGCTTGGTTTCTTTCTTTTTAAAATCCCTGCAACACCATCCTAAAAATTATATAGCAATATTCTTGGGTCCTTTTTTTTTTTTGCTGCTTTCAAATGAATTCTCAATATTTACTGAAGCATTTAGAAGAGGCAGATACCATCAACTACATTTTAAGATCAGCCAAGCACATAAGAACATACCTTGTCCTTCACTAGTCATAATTCCTGAAGTCGAGGCTGATCCCTGACCAATATGATTGTCTGCATTTGAACTACTCCAGTCAGGGGCGGATGGGGAAGGTTTTGCAGGGGCGACCATAGAACCTAGGAGAGAACAAGTGGAACAAACTAAGCTGAAGTGACAGTTTTTATTGACTTACTTATTATAGGGAGGGGTTTTTTGCAAGAGTCAGGTCTAGACAGTGTGCAAGTATCACAGACAGGTGAACTGCTATAAACCTATCGCTATAGATTTTCAGTCATTTCATTTCTTTATTTGTTTGTTTTAAAAAGAGAATGCAAACCAACTCCAGAGACAACCACCAAAGCAGCGGCAAAACTATTTGTCCTAGCACACACCCATACCTAGAGCATTCAGAAAGGAAACTTCTCTAGACTGCCTTCCTGCCAGCTAGCAGGAAACTTTCTTTGAATATCTGCAGTAAGTTAAAAGTGGCACGATATTAAGAAAGCATGGAAAACACTGTTGTGCAAAGACAAACACGATGCTTTAAAGCACAGACAGCCCCTGCCAGTGACATCCAAAACAGGAGAAAAATTCTCTGCGTGTTCAATGTGCCCAGAGGTACCGCATTACAGCTGATCTTCACGTTCCCTGAAGTAGACAGGCAGGTCTGCAAAAATCACTAAGGAAGTGCTTGCAACTTGCTATTAAATGCTTCACCAACTTCTCTCCATTACAGCCTAAAGAATGTAATACAATGAGTATTGTATTACCTAACCCTAACTGTGAAATTCAAACAGTAATGATAAGCAGTGGGAGAAAAGCTTCATTCTGACAAAGTAGAAACGTCTCTCTAAGAATGCAGTCACTGTGTCCAAATACAACAAAGGAAGAAGTGATCTTTTAGTCCAAATAGCTCAGGACCACGCATTCCTCTAGCAAAAATTCGAATTTTGTATGGTCTAGAGCTAACATTCCACTCCAGTAGTTTTAGGATCAGCAAACCAAATGAAATGAAACAATCCTCCAAAACCAAACAGAACTATTCCACAAGCTCACTCTCTGTTTTTTCCTTTGAGGAAAATCAGAGTTTCTCTTCTCTTCTCTCCCAGGTGAAAAGTGAGTCTTCTCTCAAGAGATCACAGAAGAGATATTTGCAAGTCTCTAGTTTTCTCCACACTTCTCTCATGGAACTGAACTGTCTCTCATAGGAGAAACCCATGCAGAGAAGCCAAGCAAATCTCCATTAACTTTCCAAGTACCAGAGGCCAAGTCTCAGGTCAGCAGCAAGTCAGTACCTTTATTGCTATTTCTGTGCTACAATCAACTGCTTCCTTTGTAATATTTCCTGCAATGCTGGCTAATGCTTTACATGTGTCATTTCCAAAATGTACGAGCAGAAAACTTGGCTTTGCTAGTTGTTAAATCCAGGCACCAGGTTATTACCAGGTATGACCCAAAACTGCCTCTAGAAACTCAAACGCACACTGGTGTATAGTTTTTAGGAGAGCTTTAAAATAAATTAAAAAATAATTAGTTTACAGAAAAATCCTTCTGCAGACCACACTGTATAACAACTGAAATTGCTCGCTAAGAGAATTACCTAATTTATAACATGGAATCGTATTACCTCAGTGCTTATAAAATTTATTTGCTGGCACAAAAAAAAAAAAAATTGCTCACAGTGAGACTGACATTGCAAATAACTGCAAATAACTCTTTGCTTTAAAAACCAGCACAGGATCAGAGTCCACCATGGCTCATCCTGGGAGAGTCTGCAGAAGCCAAATCTCAGCTAAGGGCATTCCCCGGGGAATCCTCCTTCAGGAAAATAGGAGTGCCTTCCAGATCCTGACATCTCTGCACAGTTATGGCAAACCGACGACTTTGCAAAGCTGTGCTTCCCAACCCATGCTCCTTTCTGGAAACCAGAAAATAAGGAAAACATCCGGGGGGCAATGGGAAGAAAAGCTGCTGGAACAGCTCTGATTTCACAGGTGGGTTTGGTAATCCACTTTAGCCAGGCTGGGATTTTCCCTACCTGTCCATCACCGATTTACTCATTTTTACCTCAAAACGTCCATTGTCTTCCCAACAGATGAACTCAGATTTTAGCCCTAAAATGTCCATTTTGTCCTCTACAGAATCCGCCCGAGAGCGCCGCCTCGGGATCCCGCACGGCCGGGCGAAGCCTCCGGTGCCACGAGCCCTCAGCTCCCGGTGCCGCCGCCTTCCCGGGAATCCCGCCGGGCCACCGATCTTCCCAAGGGACAGCGAGTTCCGCCCACCACCCACGCCGCTCCGGAGCCGGTCTGTCCCCGCTCCGTGCCCGGGCAGCCCCCACC